CTGTCTGCAGGGCCTGGGCAGTCCGGAGAAGAAGCAGAGTTAGCTGTGTGATGGGACATGAATTCATACAGAAGGAGATAGAGAAGAGGGTGTCATCAGGCGGTAGGCAGGACCAGGGTTCGGATATGACCACAATCCATGGGAACCTGTGGCCATGAATTTTGAAGCCGAATTATAACTAAATATTTTTTGCAATCCACTAAATCCAGATTGAATATTTTTGACTCCGTGATCACATTAAAATGTCATCCTTTGCTGTTTACCTTGTGTTTAATCAAAGCGAATTCAAGCCATCTCCTGTGGTGATATTGGTAGAGAAACCTTCACCTTCCAGATGATATTTGTCTATTTGAATCCAGTAAAGATTATCTTCTTAAGGGGTTGAACTCAGCGTGTGCTGTCGCTACGCTTAATATTCACTTATTAAAATGTAAGAGCGCAGTCTCAGGCATGACCACGATAATTAAGTTTGAGCTTACAGAAGGATTTCATTCATTAATCCATGTCCCATTCCATCTAAAGATGTATTTTACATTCAATAAAACTGTGTTGAATTCTAGAGGTAATCAAATACTTTGGCCGGGACAGAAGAATGGACAAGAAAATATTGATACGTGGGAAAAAGGAAGGCAGGAGGTGTTGTGTTTATATGCGTGTCAGGAAATTTTGTCTAGCTTGCCATTTCATTAATATCCTGTTCTACTCGGCCATGTTTGAAAGTCTGTCACGTATGTTGACTTTTTTGGAACAGTCACACAGTTAATACTCTGACGAGCAGAAATAAGGGAAATTGTGTCAAAAAGAGGAAAGAAACACACACAAAAAAGATTCCTTCATGTTTGTGGAATGTCTTGGTTAGCAATATGGAAACAGACAGAAGTCCAGAATCCAGTGGTTAGAAAAATAAAAAATAAAAGAAAAAAATCTTGTCTGAGAAAGAGGAAAAACCTGGGGGGAGGGGGGCAAGGGGAGCCTCTGTAATTATAAACCAAAACCCCCTTAGACACACACACACACACACACACATGCACAGAGACACGTTCAGAGACAGTCAGAGACACACTCACACCACACACTTCTTCCATCATCTCAACTGCACAGCTAACCACAGTGGGTGAAGGGGTGGGGTTGAGCGCTGTGGAGGTAGGGAGGCACGAGCATAACAAGCCTCCTTCAGTACTGCGCTCACTGTTTCGTTTGAAGTGCTCCGGCGTCGGCCTCTCTGGCATCGTTCAAATATTCAGAAGGCCTCTGACAAAACGTCACCAGTGTGGAGGAGGACAGATGACTCATTCACTATCTGTAAATCTTGACTTGAGAAATTAAGTTTGTACACTACTGACAGACCACTGCTGTTCACACGTCTACGTCTAGAGCTCGCGTATAACTCACGTGGAAAGGCCGTGAAAGCGTGCTGGGCCCTTCTCACGTCACTGCCATATCTCTCTCCTACTCTGCCTTTCGATGCACATATGAACGGGGATCTTGAAAGCAAATGCTCGCATAATGGCTGTTTCCAAAAATACAGATGAGTGGGCAGACTCGCTGGCTGAGGATCTTGGCAGCTGTCCCCAGCGTGGCCCCGGGCCAGCCGCTCTCGCTGTGCACGTTCCCTCTGCTGGACCAGCCGTGCTGCGAGAGGTGTGAGGCGAGCAGTCAGACAGCTTTTATTCTGCCACCTGATACCCCAACAACTCCCCCCCCTTCCATCCCCCTGATTCTACAGGCTACTGGGCTACGCAGCATACCAAATACCCCCATTTCACTTTCCGACACTGGCCCTTCAGTATTGTTTTACGCCGCTCTGCAGCGGCCTTCCCTGCTAAACTTATCAAGCTCATTCTCTCTCCTCTTCTCTCCACCACGCCTGAGCTCATCACCCCGCATCCTCATCTGTTTGTTTCTCTCAGCCGTCTCTGAGACTATCCCGTGGTGAAATTTCAGTGAGCAAACATCTGGAAAAGCTGAACAAGTTGGGAATGTCCTGCTAATAACAGTTATTGATTTACATTATTATAAACGGAGCCATTGTTAGTAGTAGTGGATTGCTCGGCCTTCTGCTCCCCCTCTCCCCCTCTCTTGGTCATTGTCTTCAGGACAGAGAACTGCTCTATAGGTAAACTATAAGATTGTCTATCTTAGTTGTTATGATCTGATATTAACTCCTTACAGAACAAACATAAGCAGAACTGTTGAATCGATGTGTAGAAAGAGATCCTAGTCTTTTGAGGGAACTTATTTTGAGCAATAGGGGGTTTATTGCAGGATTTTGCCTCTTGCAATTGCAAGCTTATTTTGTTAATGTGATGAAACTGTTAGGAATAAAATGTTACTTTAAGCCCCTTTTACTCACTCATCTCTGAGAGAAACCAAGACCTTCCCTAATAATAGTAATGAAAAACATTCTCCACTTTTGTTCTAGTTGTGCACCCGCACGCACAGACCAGTCATACAGGATTTGATATCAACTTGTGCCATACATGCAATTATTTCACCACCACACTGTCTTTATGTGTAGTCCAAAAGCAGTTTATACTTTTATAGATAAAACAAATAATCAGTAACAAAGGCGCCTTCGTATGTGCAGATTGATACACGTAAGTCTGTGTGTGAGGACATTGGCGCAAGGGAAATAATGAGCTGCTCGTGGCTGTAGAGGAAGTGGACCAAGTATCTGTTATGGATACGAATAACCCTTTGCTATTTGTAAACTGACAGCTGAGGCGTTAGTGCTACTTCTGTAAGGCCCCTGTAATCCTCATACTGAGCTTTCCATTGCCGGAGGCATTCAGCTTCAGCCCCAAACCTCAGCGGCAGGTCTGGGCAAATACAATCGAGGCTGTGATGTATGATTGTTACTGTTGACTCCTCTGGTCTGGACCGAGCACATCCTGTAGAAGATGCTGGCAGGGTCATTCACAACAGTTTCCCCACTGGTGGCCGAGAGAGCTGCAGACACTCCAGCCTTCAGATTCTCTGGAGGTATAGAGGGGATGCGATTTTTCACAACCAGGCCTAAACCCAGCCAAGTCTCGGCCTCAAGCCTCCCTCTAAACCTGCAAAATATCTCTGGGGGGGAGGGGGGTTACCACATGATGAGATTCATGGCAGAGAGTTATGCCTCTGGGTGAAAGTGGATTGTCATATCTCACTATTCCATTTGTCGGATGATGTCTTGACACATTGGCAACAGATCCTTAGAAAATCAATCAGAAGCAATGCTATGGGCTAAGCTGTATTCTCTTTCGGACCATGTGTCTGCAGAAAGAGCCCCTCAAGCCTCCTTCAGTCCGGTCCAGTGGGGCTGTGAGCTCGCATTTACACCGTAAGGCCGTCAACGCGCCATGCAGTATGTCATTACTCGGGCATCTAGACACATCCTTAGGAAGTGCTCTGCCTTTTAATTGTGAATGGGACTATGTTTTACGAGGATTGTAGGTGGTTTAGACATAAAGACCTGATTTGTGTATAGTATCATTATCTCCCTTATAAGCAGCACTAATGTTAATGTCAAACACTCTTATTATAACCTCAACAATGAGTTGATTAGATTGAGCGTCACAGAAGGAATCTAGGTGTGTTGCAGAACAAAAAGAACCATCTTCCTGGACTCCAGCAGAGAAATGTTGATGAATATTTTTTAGATAACAGTTTCTACAGGTGTTACAATGCATGAATCATTTTGCTTTGAGGCCTCAGTTCAAACTAGAGGTGTGGTGATTAGCTGACAGTCTTTTTGCAATAAAAGGACAACCTTTCTGCAGACGCTTTGCCCTAAAACATTGGGCTGTGGAAACGGAAAAAGAGAACAATAATGAATTCAATCAAAAATGCATAGCAGAGAGTAGCACTGCATTTTGATATAAGTCGATTTGATAATACACTGGGTTGTCAGCCACAAACTAATCGCGAGGGCCAATGCAAAGCTTAGATGTGCCAATTTTATACAGCCAAACTAAAATCTATCTAAAAGTGTTTACCCCCTTCACATTAGAGACCCATGAAAGCTCCCTAGAATCTGAAAGGAATGTGTTTTTCTTAATGGCACATTAGCAGTGTCCATGGTACCCTGAACAGAGACCTTATACCAATGACGGCTGTCCAACCTCCAGGCTTCGGCCACCATATGGGCCTTTAGTAATATCCAGGGGAAACACACAAGGAGTTGGGATGGAAGTCTTGTTACCAGGCCTAGAAATTACATTTTGGCCCCAATTCCAAGTTTCATCTGGTCCGGCCTCAAACGAAGCAGAAAGGCTGCTTTTGCTCAGGGCCAAAGTAAACTGGGACCTGAGAAGCTGTTTCTGGGATCCCTGAGAAAAGGCTGTCAAAACGGCTGACTGACTAACACCTGATGTTCCTCCATGATCTAAACCCGCAGCCCTCTGTAGCAATGGAACACGGTGGCATTGTTGTGTGCCTGCTCTTAAGCAGTATGTGATTCATTTACTGGCAGTGCTTTTGGATCTATGTATTTCATTTTCTCATCATTGGCTTCATCATTTCTAGACCAAACTGTTGTCTCCGTGTGTTTGTTTGCATAGAGGTGTTTTACTGCGATACAGCCATCAATTCAATGTTATAAAGAGGGGGCAAAAGTCGCATGGCAGTGTATATACTTTTTGGTAATGTCTTATTGGTTGTCAGGAATAAATAATTAAAGCATTAATAGTATCTTCAGACTTCGAGTATGAAGTTGGCAGTATTTTAAAATTCCCTGTTGGCTACACTGGTGACCGCACCACATTGAAATGCTGCACTACTGCTCTCTGCTGGCAGACACTGGAAGTATTGTTTTCTTTTATCCATCCATCACTTTATTTGAAATATACATAACTATGTTATGTGTAGTGGTTAATGTTTCACTTGCATGTTTGAATAGTCCTGCCGGATGTCAATTGAAAATAGTACATGGTATAATCACCTTCTTTACTTTCAAAGCATATGAAACAGTAAAAGCTTGACATCTGATCCTCTCTGTTCTCTTTCCTCCCCCCCAGGCCTGCTTTGCTCCGGTGCCATATCAGCGGTTTACAATGAAAGTCATGAGATGAACCTGCGAACAGCCCTGTCCCTGCAGTTCCTGCCATTTGACATTTACTGATTCGTACCAGCCAGACGACGATGCCCCTGCCTCCCAGATAGCACTTCTGAGGACCAGGCCTTCACTGCACACATTCTGAACCATGGCAGGAGAGACTCAACGAATCCTTGCTATTAAAGAGCTGGCCGCTGAGTCCAAACTGCAAGATGAAGGGACAGCGCTGGAACAGCAGAGTAACAAAACCACAAAGGAGATTCCAGTGCACTTTTCAAGTACAGGCACTGAGATCAGAAGCAGCATCAAAGGGGCCAAAGCTGAAAAACTAGAGACGGGAAGGGACTGCCCTCAGCAGCGTGAGGCTGTCATACGGCCACAGCAGACTGGGAAGATTGACTTCAGGTCACTGCAGAACCGATCAAAATTTGCCACAGACAGGACTTGGTCGAGCGGCAAAGGCGGCCCCCAGTCGCCGAGTGGAAAGGGCCGCAGTCGGGAGAAGGCGAAACGGTCAGGGAAGACGGAGCGCGCCAACCCGCAGCAGCTGTACAGACTTAGCATTACCAATCCACGCTCCAACCCCACCATTGGCATTGCCTACCCACAGCAGAAGGCTGCGTCACCCAAGAAGCCGGAGACCCGTCGCACCTCGGTTTCGGGCAGCTACAGATTCCACGTTCCCAGTATACCGGAGAGAGAGGCCGAACTACAGCAAGAAGAGCTCAGCTTCAGCCACTGCTTCCAGGAGGCCTCGTCTAACCTTACTTCCCCAAGCTATACCTCACAGGCCCTGGTTTCTTCAAGTGGAACGCCATCTCACCCGCATCCCCCGCTGCCACAGCAGCAGTCTGCTTCAATGGAGAACAACAGCACACAGCCAAGCAGTCAGCTGACACTGACTGACTTTCAGCTGAGCGGCTCTAATGTATGGCAGTCTCCTGAAAGGACATTTAACGGCGCTAACTATGGGGTGTCATCACAAAAATCCACTAATAAGGCCTTTTTGCATGGTCCATATCAATTTGGATATCACTTTCTGGAAGAATCAGCCTCCGACTCTGTCAGTGAACAGAACCTCCAATCCCAAGACTTTACAACCTCCTCACAGGGTTCTGTTCATGTGACCCAGAACTCTTTTTCCTTTACACCCGGAGAAGGGCAACACAATGCTCAGAACAGCACTCAGTTCAGCAATGAACAGCAGCCCGAGGATAGAAGTTCATATCCTCAGCCTCCACAGTCACAGTTTGTTCAAGGTGTAACACCCTCCATCCAGTGTCCAAGGAGTGTGAGCGAGGACTCAGCCGGTAGTGAAAGCTCTGGCTCTGGCTCACAGCAGTCAGAACAGGGGAAGGCCGCCGTGTCCGACAGCACAGACACTACGGCACAGGCGGACAGCAGGGATGCATCCATCACCCTCGCCAGTAAGAGGAACTGTCACCCTCAAGACACGGCCGCCAACCCTAGAGCACACATTCAAGGAAGTGTGTACCATGCAAGAAATATGTCACAAAGTCCAGGTTCTCAAATGCACTTTCCCAGCAAAACATTTAGCACACCTCGAGTCACTAACATTCACACAGGCATCATTTCTTTTGACAAAAACACCAACAACAAGGTTTTAAATAGGTTACCACACTCCTGGGAGGGGTCTAACAAGACACATTTACCAGTTGATCAAAACACTATTCAGTATCCTGATATGAATGACAAGTATCAGTTTCAGAACCAGCCAGCACTTGAACAAAGGCCCAATTCATCTAAAAATAGCCAAATGACTGGTCAGCAGATACGGCCAAACCCAACCATGTCGAACCAAAACAGAAATGACTTATGTAGGCAAATAAACAATCCAAAATTGGCTTATATAGTTTCCCCTTCTGACTGTCAGGAAGATAGCAAAGTAAATAAGCACAGCTCCCTGGAAAATTCAAGCTCATTTCAGAATGGCAGAACCGGTGATGGGTTTTCAAACCAAAGACAGGAGACTGTAAAACATAGCAGTAAAACCCTAGAGATGAGCCACGCACAAGTATGTGAATCCAAAAACAAGGCGGTATATTTTGGACTCAACCAGTCCATTCCAGCAGCATCAAGAAACTACAGCTATCCTCCACTACAGGTCCCGCCTATGGGACTTATGATGGTGTCACCGTATGAATCTCCTTTGCCCTCACCGGTCCATAACCCTGCATCCAGTAGCACCTGCTCTTCCCTTTCCCCGGCCTCTTCCAGTCCTGTTAACATCGCTTCAGAGGACAGTCAATTGTCAAAGTCAGCACCCTCTCACACATTTTATCACCAGGCCCAAGCCAAAACGCAGTCACTGTCAGATCACCTGAGCTCTCACCCTCACCACTTTCATTCTGGTGCTCCAAGACACCTTTCCTACGCGCCAGACAGAGCCAAAGACGACATGATGAGCTACCTGCAAAACAGCACGCATCCAAAGACTCTTATGGATGGAAACAAAGGTTACATGGACAGTTTTGGGCTGGAGCATCATCAGCCACCACCACCGTACTCTGCACATCAGCTGTTGGCGACGTCGTTAGCCGCAACAGATCTTGATGAGTTAGATGTGGTTCTGAAGTGCAGACAGTGTGGCCAGAATTTCAACAACATGGTTTCCGTTCTAAGCCATAAGCAATATTGTTCTCAGCATATGTTTGCTCAAAATGACCTCAAAGACATATCAAAGATGGACGACAGTAGAAAGTTTCATGTGGAGCCTGCAAAAGCATTGTCATCGTTGTCAAATTCTTTTATGTCCAGGTGCCCATCTGACCTTCACCTTTCACTGCTGGGCCTCAATAAAAATGGGGAGCTGATATCTGACAGTGAAACTAAAGGAGAGAACAAGGATGATTCAATGAAACTCAACTTGTTCGCTGGTACGGGTAACCTTCCCGTCCCTCTCCCTGAGCTAGAAATGGAGGATGCTAAACTAGACAGCCTGATCACAGAAGCCTTAAACGGACTGGGATATCAATCTGACAATGCGGAGATAGACAGTAGCTTCATCGACGCATTTGCTGATGATGACCTCACCACTGTCAAAGCAACGTCTATCAAGCAATGCCATAAAACCAAAGAACCTCTCATCTTTGAGAGCAAAAACAAACAAGCAACAGAGGACGACAGGTCTTTCAAACAAGGACAGTATTTATACGACCCTGAAGGTGAGAACTCTGACACGGACAAACAGTACACTGATAGCAAACTTGAGAAATGTTCTCTGGAACAAGACGAGAAAATTGTTGTAAGAAAAGAAGTCTCTCGTAAAAATTTAAGAATTGCCTCAAGGGGGAAGACGAGAGAACAAGAAATCAGAGTGAAAGAGGCAAGAAAACTGTGGAAGAGTGAGGATGAAAACCAAAGTACTCAAAGGTTTCTCTTATCCAACAAATTCTCTGATCGCTGTGGTGTTAAGAGCTTCCAGGACAGCGCTGCACTCCGAGGGTCAACAACCTCCCTGGCATCCACGTCTCCAACCTCGAGGACTGCAGTGAAAGACAGCAAGAGGAAAAGCACCGGAGGGGGCACCTGGAGTAAAGAACTTATTCACAAAATAGTTCAACAGAAAAACAAGCTCCATAAGCTCCATGTTAAGGATACTAAGAACCTCCAGTTTTCCTTGGTGATGGAAAGACTAACTCCTGCAGTACAGAACCCAGCTTTTGGTGAATACGACTACATCTCAGATTCAGACGAAGAATGCGAGTCCGTTGAGATGGCGAGCCAAGGTCGGCTGAATGAAAGCAGCCGGTGTAAATACACATACAGCAAAGAGTGCAAATGGCGAGCAAGGAGTGAGCGGGACCAGGCAGCATGGCGACACGAGTCAAAGGAGTGTTTCGAGGTGAAAAAAAGCGAGGAGGTTTCTCTCTCACCGGATAAACATGGTGCTCACCAGAGACTCAGGAGAAGGGGCAGCAGGTCATCAACAAGCAGTGAACTCAGCACATCAGTGAGTGTTTCAAGCGATGGTATAAACAGCCCCAAAAGCACTGATCGCACCGAATCCGACTGTGAGAAGAAGGCAGACAGCAAAAGGAAAGAGTCTCCAGAGCAGAGAACATATGAAAGGACCTCCCCACAGAAGTCATCTAAAGAGTCCAGCACACTAGCACTAACATTCACTAAATCCATCAAGAAGCATATCACTGACAAAGCTATTCTTTCTGATAACAAAGACAGTGCAAAGAACAATCATTCAAATCCAGAAGATGCTGATACGTTGTCATCACCCCAAAAAGCGAAAGACATAATCAAGACCTTTGAAAAAAGCATAAGCTCTCACAATCACAAACTGAGAGAGAAGCTGGTGACTCCCAGAAGAGAAGCTGGCACCACAATCAGTTCAGACAGAAACAACCTAAAGAAAACGGACAGTCTTTGCCCCAAAGAAGAACCAACACAGTGTAGCAAAGCAGACAGAGAACCGCTACAGTTTGATCCACACTCTCCATCCAGCAACAAAGAAGCTGACTTCAATATTGACAGAAACACAATGTGCAAAAGAAGTGAGGGGCTCCAAGCTACACAAACACAGTCGTCAGACCGTCCCGCATTTGAAAAACAGAGTGACAATGTTTGCATTGTGGGGGAGACGATGACTTTAGTCAATGACTTAAACGCGCACAAGCAGGCGCTTTGCACTTCTTTGATGGACGAGGTGTGCCTGTCTCCAACTGAGAGCCAAGGCCACCTGATACAGAAAGATGCGCTCCACCTCATGCCCTACCCACTGGATCAGGAACAGGGGCTCCTGAAATCTCCGCTTTCATTTGACACCTCAACAATGTTTGGGGAGCTCACAGGATTTGACGGTGGCCTCTACTCAGCTATGCCCATTCAGAAAGACGGTTTTCATTCAATTGAGAGCACCGCTGATAAAAAGGAAGAGTTTGTGTCCTCCTTCTCTCCCTTTCTGGAGCCGAGAGAATGGAACATTTTGGTTAGCCCTGTAATGCCGGAGGAGATATCGCAGTACAAAGGCAGCTCTGAGAAATCAAGTGAAAAGAAAGCAGATTACAGTCACGTTCCTTTGTCCCTGCCAGAAAAAATCATCGACTACAGTGCGAATCTCAACAGCTGTGCATCAGAGGATGAGCTGGAGATTAAAAGAATCGTTACTGAGCTTGAAAACCAGCTGCAGTCAAATAAATTGGAAAGCCAATCGTTGCAAGCTGACGACGTACCTAAGCAACTGAAAATGAGCAAATTCTCACCTTTACGTCTGGGCGATGAGTCAGAGAGTGGAAGCACTGGACTGGACACGAGGTGCACTGTGCAAGGCATACAAGTATCAGTGACCAATTTGGCCTCAGAGCCTTTCACTGAACCGTGGTCCAGTCCATTCCAGTTCGAGCTAATAGGTGGACACAACACTCCGCTTCACAAGGAACCAGGGATGATTGAACATTTCAATGAAAAAGAAGACGACGCCCCGAATTTTATCTCCACGGCGTCACATATTGAAAACCCACAGCTTCTCCACGACCACAGATCAGTGGAGAGGAACGTTGAAAATGAGACTTCGGTAGAAACAAAAGAGGAGCTCTTAGAACAGAAAAGATATACAGAAAATCTCATGAAAAGCCTGGAAGTAATATCAGACTCCATATTCAAAAGCAAACCTGTTTTATCAGATCACATGGAGCCAAATGTCAACACTCTCACAAGTCAACAACATCTCAAAATTGAATGTCAGGCAACTGATGCAGATGAGAGAGAAGATCACAGCGAAAAGGATGCAATTACTGGGAAGGAGAATATATTATCACATCGAAGTGTCAATGAGCAGAAGGATGATATTGAATTCATCCTGAATGAGTCCCAGTCATCTCTCTTCAACAGCAATGACCCCACGGTGAATGGAAACAAGCCAATACCATCACAGCCAAGTGAGCCCACAGAAAACAATGATAGAAGGGCTGAGACTGAAGTCACACCAGAGGAGGAAGTATCCGAGAATAGTAATTTGATCGAGCCTGCCCACCTCTCAAGTGTGGTGACACATGACACACATGCTTTTAAGGAGTCCGGTAAAGCAGCAGAAGATATGAATCAGTTCATGGGAAATAATAGTGACGGTTCAGAACATTCAACTGCAGACAGCTATGAGGAAGCAGAAGCAGTGAAGGGAAACACGGGTCAGTCTTTCAGCCTGCGTTTATCACCAACTCGACCTGAAATCAGTCTAAACATTGGCGAGAAAAGTCTTGGTGCCACAAAAACAACAGTCGGCCATGTTAGTACTGGAGACATTACTTTTTCACATGCCGAGGAATTCCAATTGAAGTACTCAGACAGTGTGAACGATGAAATAACTGTCCAATCAGCAAAACAGGAACACTTAATTAAACTATCTTCCTCTAAGAGCTACAGCCCAGCTTGCAGCACAGGTCCAACAACTGATCTGTCGGTGGAGCCCTGCAGTCCAATACTGATGGAAACCAATACAGAGAGCACTAGTGGTTGCTCACCCTTCCGAGACACCGGGTCCATAGAGGGACAAAGTAATCTGTTGGTTCTTTCACAGTCCGATGACATCATTGACAGTGATTCCTGCAAAGGTCCTCCATTCAATGGCTCATTTAGTGACTCCGTTCTGGACTTCCGTGAACAGGAAGAGATTTTAATTGTACAGGACATCAAAGAAGACCTGCCTATCGATTTCATGGCAAGTCACCAAAACTCACCATGTAGAGAAGAGGTTGAAGAAAGTCCCTGTCTCTTTCTGAACACTGCCACTCCAACCTGTCCTCTTTTACCAACGTCTCCCCAAACACCCATGCATACATACAACATGGAAGTGGATTCATGTCAGTCACAAAGTGAATGTGATGATGTCTCTGTCATCCATGGCTCAGTTACAAACATGCAATCCCTCACAAACAAGAAAGAAAACAGCAACGTCAAAGAGGTTTCAAACAGTGAAGAACATCTGAACACGACAGCCAAGTTGAAGTATTCTTTGATAAGCCCACCACTTTTGGACTTAGGGACCATAGAGTGTAAAATCACCAGCTCTGAAACCGCCAGTCCCTCTCCACTCCCAGTGATCAGCTCCGCAGAACCACCAGAAGTGACTGATGGACGTAAAAGGGGAGATGCGGTGTATGATTTGAAGCTGAGCCCGCTCAACTACAACAGCATTTCAGACGAACCTCCGAAACTGAATCGATATAACTACATCGCAATTTCACCCGCCAGTACAACTGAAGAGCTTTCAGACCTTAAGCAGAGTACCAAAGATGTCTGTGAACCCTACGGCCTGAGGCTTAATCCTGCACTGATTTTTAATGAAGGTGAACCAGACACAGTGCTGTCACTGAACCCAGACCCCGCAGCTGAACTGAACTCGTCAGATGAACTGGAACTCCAGCAAAGTACAAAATTCACACGTTTTTCATTGGGTCTCCCACCTGAAACTAAGAGAAAAGATTCCTCAGAGGGTGATGTAAAGAGAGACTTGAACATTTACCATGATCCTGTTGGACCGTTTGAGCATTTGGCTCTTCACGCTGACCCGCTGACAAAGGATGAATTAGGGAATATAACTTCCCACGAGGCTTCCGCTGAAGACAGGAAAGACATCTCAGATGGTCTGCTCACTCCTAAGCCACTTAAACAGATGCCTCCTCCACCAGATCAATCCGAGAAGCAACCAACAATAGTGAATGGACAGTGTTCACCGATACACCAAACTCACAGAGCAATATCAAAAAAAAAGACACACAACAACGCTCAACAGGGTAAAGAACTTTGTGATCTCTGCTGCATGTGCTTCAGAACCGTGCCTGGGTTAAAGAGACATAAGGCCATGAAACATTTGGTCAGTGAAAAACACATCGGCTCACAGAGTACAAGCCACCAGGGGGCCGTGCTTATTTGTGACGCATCCCGAGCTACAGAGAAAGAACATAAGGATGATTCAGAAACCTGTTACCCTGGTAAAATAGATGGGCTGCCCGAGATAAGTAGCACCCTCATATTTAAAGCAACAGAGACTGAGTCAGTCCTGGAAGAAATGGCAACTGAAACCAATACAGTGGCAGGCGGGGAAGTAGGCCACCAAAACCCACTGCTGGCCACAAAAGCAAAAAAGAACAACAGGGCAAGAAAGAACAAAAACAGTGAGGTAAACATAAAGCCAGACTCTTTCTCAGAGGAGCTTCTGAATCAACTCAAAACGGACATTCTTCAAGCTATTACTCCTGAATTCCAAAGCAGCGGACTACACAATCTCCAGAAATCTCCAGCTGACCAGGTGACAATCGATAACAAAACCTTTAATGGCGGGTTGTCTGGCTCTGACAACCCGCCATCTCCAACAAAACAGACAAATGAGCTAAATCAAATCACTCATCTGGAAGATAATATGGTTGAAAGTGCTACATCTGTAGAGGAGGATATAGTCAGGCGGCACGATGAGCCCAGGAGTCTGTGCACCGGGGAAGATATGTGTGAACAGAAAGGATCTGAAGAGAGCCTCGCTCAAGAGATTCTTAGCCAGGTGGCTGCCATCGGAATAAAATGTGAGGAAAACAGTGGCCCTACAGAAGAGGCACATCCTCGCTCCTATTTGTATTGTTCCCCTCCCAGTCCTTCCGACATAAGCCCCGAACTGAAGGCCTTACTCGATGACGACGCCACATTCTCACAGCTGTTCCCCAGAGACGAGGAAGCAAAAAGGAAAAAGTGCCCACGGGTCTACAGCAAAAGAAACAAAAGACTTAAACTGTCGCCTGAATCAGACACGACTGAGGCCCACCCGCCCTCAGAGACATCGATGCAGAGTAGAGATCAGTACATAAAAAATCAAGGAGAGCAGACATTTACCAACAACCAGACTAACCGCTGCAAATATGAGACAATATCAACCGATAATGCCATCCTGTTGAATATGTGCCACAACAGCACATTGGAGACCAGCGTTACCCAAAGTGACCAGCAGGGGGTCGATGAGAACGTGGGCGAGGTCGGAATCGGCCCCTCGAATCCACTCGAGAGCACGGTTGATAAATCTTCAATCGAATGGAGTGGCTTTGATTCAAGCTCAACGGTGACCTCTGACCCCAGCACCTGTGAAGCAGAAGAACCGCCTGCGCCCTCCGCTGCGGTCCCACCTTCTGCCCCCTTAACCACAGAGTCATGTGTCACAAAGAGCGTTCAAAACTTCCCCAGCATCGACATCCAAAACGTCAAGACCACGTTTCAGCTTCCCGAAATCCAGTTTCTCGACTCCAAAAAAAACATCTCACTGGCTCCTCCAGCGGCTACTGTTGACTTTGAGAATAGAGAAGGCGAAAAGTCCAAGAGAGTGGTGGAACGCCGAGGCAGAAAACGTCAAGATTGTGGAATAAAGGTAAAAGACAAGCAGTACAAGTGCAAAGTGTGCTTCACCTGGTTCCTCACCCTGGGCGAGCTAAACTTTCACAAGCTCTCCCACAACCCTTCTCCTCCTCCGACCTGCTACATGTGTGTCCAGCGTAAGTTCAGCTCGAGGGAGCAACTGAGAGACCACCTGAGGGAGAAGCATGCTAAGAACAAGACAGGTATCTGGACGTGCGGGATGTGCCTGAAGGAGATATCGGACGTGTGGATGTACAACGAACATTTGCGAGAGCATGCCACTCAGTTTGCCCGCAGGGGACAGACCCAAGGCTCCATGTTGGGCATTCCAGGCTGCTTCATGCAGGAGACGGCCGTGAAGAACTTCATCACCTCCATCATGCAGCGCCGCCCCAGCAAAGCCAACAGAGAACCCAGCAAGGACACTAAAGAACAGGAAAAAGCTGTTGTTGCAGATCCGAGAGAGGGAAAAACCTCAGGGGCGGCTGAGCCAAAGGTTCACAAAACCAAAAGCGTCGGTGCAGCAGGTGGGAAGCAGAGCGCGTTAACGCCACTTGAGGTCCTCCACAAAACAGACACACCTAAAAGTGTGGAGATGCATCCCAACTGCAAAGACCCCTCAAGAGACTGCCACCACTGTGGGAAACAATTCCCCAAACCGTTCAAACTCCAGAGACATTTAGTGGTTCACAATTTGGAAAAGATTTTCCTGTGTCACAAATGCCCCGTCTCCTATCAGGAGGCCCAGGAGCTGAAGGGCCATCTGAAGAGTGCACACGAGGAGGTTGATGAGCCGGATTCAAAACACACCACCCTCTACACCTGTGAGCTCTGTGCAAATGTCATGCATGTAATCAAAAAGTCTTTCATCTGCAGCACCTGTAACTACACCTTCTCTAAGAAGGAGCAGTTTGATCGCCACATGGAGAAGCACTTGTCGGGGGGGAACAAAATCTTTAAATTCCGAGGTGTTTTTAGACCTGTCAGGGCAGCTGCCTCCAAAGAAGATGAATGTGATCCACTTGCAAGTAAGAAGAGGAAAATCCTCCCCGACGTTCTGCACGAAAATAGCTCAGACAGCGGCATCGCCAGTGTGAGCTCACTGAACTTGAATCCAAACTCTGAGACTTCAAAATCATCTGTGTCCACAGCTGAGGACTCCACACAGACGACTGCAAATGAAAATCACAGCGACACAAGAGAGACTACAAACGTGAAGACTGAGGACATTACTGAGTGTTACTCGGAACTGCTGGTAGACCTGGACACCTCTGTTCATCTGGCTTCTTCAAAGGGTGCTAAACCAAACAAAGAGGAAACTGAACCAGTCACCTCAGCTCTCCTCGAAAGGGAGGGTAATGGAAAATCAATCACTGAATCATTTGATGTGAAAGAGGAGAATGAGTCGGTCTGCATTAGAGCAGATAAGTTATCTTGGCCGGCGTCTAAAAACAGTAGCAGTGAGGGGGAGGAGACTCTTAAGCCCGAGGACGGCTCTGCTCCACGTGCCACGGCTGAGACTCAAAAAACAGATTCCCTTCCATCTTGTGAGGACTCTTTAATCGGCCTGAGAGAAAATCTAATCCTTTCAAAGACACTCGAGTCAAAGCATGAACAAACTGCTGATGCGACTCACCAACAGAGAGAAGATGAGCAGTGGCTTAACCCTTTGAAAGCTACCCATGATGATAGCAAACAGACAACTTTATCTCAATGTGCCGAGCAGGACTGTAGCAGTAAGGTGAAAGACAAAGTTTTCCAGGCCAGAACAACAGACAGCACTAAAAACAGCATTACAACCGGTGGCATGAAGGATTCAGAGTTCACACCGGTCCTCCACTCCAAGGGCTCGCTGAACGCTTCAGTCTCAAACGAAGACAAAGAATCCGTGAGACCACAGAAGAAGAGGAAAGACTCAAAATCCCCGCACAGCATGCAACGATTTTCCTCTCCAGCCACGCAAGAGAACTATGGTGTTGACTCTCGAGCCAAAAAGAAATTCCGCTCCAGCAAGTGTGCAAACCCCTCTGTGCAAAGAAAGATGGATGGACCCAACGACTACCCGGTGCTGTCCTCTGTAAGGGATGATGTCGTTAGCAACAAGATTGTTTCCAAGTGCAAGACCTCAAACTTGTGTTTGCCGTCAAAAAGAAACCTGCTTGATAGCTGCACACAAAAGAAAACTGAGATCGCGACTGCTCTTAACGGGGATTACAAAGCCAAAAAAGGACCTCAGGGGCGGCCTTTGCACCTCCCTATTTCTAAAGTGTCATCCGTTCCAATGAACAATTCTTTGAATAAATCCAGGCCAAAGATGGGGGTTAGGTCAATGGAGAGCCATTCCTACAGGACAGCAGAGTCACAAAACCACCTCTTAAGCCAGCTGTTTGGCCAAAAACTCACTAGCTTTAAGATCCCCTTAAGGAAGGACACATCAGAATCTATTAACTGAGTGGCGCTTGAGGGATCTGTGAATAGAAGACTGTAAATTTCACAGTTATAAATGTTTAAGACAATTCATTGTGGTGAATGAGATTGCACAGCTCTTTTCTGTGAAATTCTATCTTTAAATACATAGTCACTTTATGTCTTCTTTGTACATGTGCTTTTGTTACTCAGTTGTGAGGACGAATGGAAGATATGAATTTTTGGGCAAAAATGAATATGCTTGTTGGGAAAATCTTTTTTTCTGCTTCTTTGTTGGATACCATCTATTTCAGAGATTATATTTCATTTACTAAAAGGAAAGAAAAAGAGAATACTTGAAAATACAGTAAAATATTTTCTTCTAAGAAATGCATGTTCATTTTGCATTTGATCTTATCAAGTCTTATCAAGTCATTTTGAAAAAGGACCAAATGAAATCGCAACTGACTCGGACTATTGTCTGTGCACCTTTCGTAAATGCTTTGAACGTATTCATATTGTATCATTTTTTACTTTACTGTACTGCATTGACATTCATTCATCATATTAGCGTCCTGTATAAAAATGGTGCTACATTGTGTTTAATTGTAATGTGAACGGCAATGTCCTCGGGAAGGAACACGAGAACTGTAGCAGTTACAGTGCATTCAATCAATTGTTTTTACTGGTTCTCTGTTGCTTATTAAACGATACTGTGTAAAGCATCCAAGTACTTCATATGTAGGCTGATAGAACACAACATTTAAGAAAGCTTTCATTGTTTCAACTCAGGTGCATACAAGCACATCACAGTCCCAAGACCTGTATTCGGAGTTCTTCCAATGCACTGATAGTACCACACACAAATCACAAACTCAATCATCTGTGTCTGTTACTCCAACTGTTTAATTTTGAATAGTATTTACTATTACAACAAAGGTGCTTTATCTTGTTTATACTGTATGTATCTTATATTGTATAATATTTTAGGTAGACTGTTGTTTTGGTGCAATGCTTCATGTCAAAGTTTTATTTGAATAATTTGCAAAAGATACGGAAGAGTGGGAAGAAAGGGAAATGCAGTTGAAAGGTTGTTAAGTGGTTCACCTAGTGCCTCCTTTATCTTTGGGTTAATAAAGATCTGTATTGCTCTCTACCCGCTCTGTTCTTCTTTTGTTCGCAACATGTTTTGCAAATGTTCAAACATCCATCCCTGCAGACTGCAGCTGTCACCGCGTTGCATCTACCATTGCGAACACTGGAAGCTGTTTGCGGCTGGAGGCAGAAACAGGTGCACACACAACAAAGTTTCACTTCATCTGCACTTAACTCGTCGTCTGAAAGTGAAGCGAGGATGTATATTCACAACAGGGAGAAAAACAGGGTCACATTTATCCACCCGTATGGTCACACAAGAACCGTGGAGCAGGTGGCGAGGAGCTCTTTCCTCCGTCGAGCTCTTGTCGTGTTGCTCTCTCGCCGCGTGTAAAATGGCTTCTGTTCCTACACGAATACCTTTCATCATCACATAGGAATAAAAAGCCATAGTACACAGTGGCGTTTATATAAAAATACAGAGGACTCATTCATGGATTTATGGTGGAACCTAAGAGAGTGAAGTGAAGAGGGGAGCACGGTGGATAATGGGGACAGAGAAGGATAAAAGAAGAGGTTATTCTGGTATACTGTATTTAATATGTTTTTTTAAAGGGATGTAAAAAGAAAATAAATATACTGAATACTGGTTTGGTCATATCTAATGACGATAACAGAAAATAGCATAACCAGCAGTGATTTACAGACCTGATTCACTGTTACTTTCCTGTTTCTCTTTACTGAGTGAGTGAAATCCTCTCCAGCAGAATGCAATTCAAATTCATGGAGGTCTGCTGGCGTATGTGTTACATATTGACCTTTAGAACAGTGCATTAAAATCCATGAACAGCATATCAATGATGTAAATCCCCCCTCAGTTTCCCCGAAGTAGACAAGGAGCCATCATGAAGGCAAGATGCTCCCCATTCATTTTACTTTGCTAACAGAAATCACCTTGGTGTTCAATTTCATAATCATTTGGATAAATGGGTTTTTTAATAGATACTGTTTGGGGATTTATGTTGGATATTTTGAATATGGTTTTCACAGATACAAATATTGTTTCATGATTGACTGGACCATATTATTGACTTAACTTCTTTAGCATTCTTACTTATTACTTGTGTGGCTCAGCATTAACCGTAAGTATATCGACACAAGTTGCAGTGATTAATCACATTATTGGTAGTTGGTAGTTGGCCAATCCTAAGGTTTTTCGGGCAGGGATGATCAATCGCTGAAAAGTTTGATCGGCTTTGTACAAATTACTAATTTCATAACATTGCCGTATTGCCTGAAAATACTTCCCTGTTACACTGTGAAACATTTTGAATTAAATGACCAAATGTTTTGTCAGGTTTTTTTTGCAATGCCTTTTTTTTTTATTTAAAGCATTGAACCTCCTCACATCTGTAGATGCACACTGCATGAAGAAAATATAAGAGTGCGTGGGAAAGGGGATCTGTTATTGTTTTACTTTGTGTAGTTAATCAACGGTTATGAGATTTTTTATGCGTATTGTAATATTGGAGAAGTGATTAATGACTTAAGGGACATTTCAGCCATCATTTATCAAACATCATAAAAAGCGCAAAAAATAAGTTTCCTTGAGAAAATCTGCTAGTCACGTTGCGTTGTTGACAGAAGTGATAGCTGATGTTTGGTCCTTAGATGTACCTGTGTTTTACCTGATCCTCTTTGCTGAATACCTCTCTGGATCCCCGCAAGTCTCCCGGTCAGCAGCTGCTTGTTGATTAAGACAAAACAAAAGCAGACGAGCTCAAGCTGTTTTGTCACAGTTCAGCCCAGAACGTGTCACCCGGAGTGAGAAGGAGCTCCGACGCACCCTCCTGTCAGGGACCCTTTCATGATCCCATCTATGAGGAAATTCTCCCCAGGCGACAATCGTACAGGAGCATGACAGGAACGCTTTGCCCTTTGAAGTGGAGTGACAATATTAGCGACGATGTTCTTGACATAGCATCTCCTTCTCTCTATCCTCTCACTCAGTCTATTTTCCGTCTGCCACCACCCCAATTCTCCTACCCGTTCTTCCTCTTTTGTTCTCTCTCCTCCATCAATTCCCTGCTCTGCGACTCCACACCTCTCCCCATTTTTGTTGTCTCACCTTTCATCCCAATCACTCGCCCGTGTTTTTTTCTCATCCTTCATTACACTCACCTCATTCCTCCTCCACTACCCATCTGCTATCGTCCACCCTCTGCTGTTGCCTTCCCACCTTTCCCCTTTCCCCACCTACCCTCCTCCCTTGTTTTTCCCGTATCCCTATCTATATCCTCTCTGCCCTTACCTTTTATCCCCCCCCTCCCTCTGCTACTCTCCTCACATGCTGTTGGCAACCGCTCAGGGAGGTCGGGAGATCAGGGGCGGATAGAAATGGGCGACTGGTCAGCGTTAATGACACGCAGGCTGAGGGGCCACAGAGGTTGCCTCTCCTGGGAATGTGAGGTCTCAGGCATCGCGGAGAGACATAAATAGACGGGGCGGGATTTGTCGCATGAAGGGGGAAGGAACGCATTCCCTTTCTGCGTACACAGGGGTGGGGGACATGATGAATTTTTCACAATGATGATATCTGAAATCATTCGGGTTTTTGACAGTGAGAATGTGCATGAATAATGAAATACAAAAACGTTCCCCTGGTTAGAACAAAGGGGATAAAGGCATCTATGGAATCAAGACATAAAAACCAATTTTGCCCGAGAACAATCAAAATCCTGCTTAATCCCTGAGAATCCTAAAATGAGAGTGCTGGCAGTTAGAAGAACCGCACAAGGAAAGCACAATCTCAAAAGACTGTCACCTGAAATAGGAAAAGTAAAGGAGCAGGTTAAAATAATTCATAGTGAGAAGATAACATGGAAGACGAAACACATTAAAGTCAGGTCACCTTTGGATTCCCTAAATAAATCGGCTTCTCAGTAGGACGTCACGTAGCCTTTCCTAATGCAACCATTTGTCATTCCAGACGCGCCAGAGAGGGAACGGGCTGGACACAACGGCTGAAAGTACCTGTTAGATGTTCCTGGTTTTCAGGAATAAATGTGGTTGCTGCGCAGGTTCCATGCACACAAATGAGAGCCTGCCGTTGGGTGCAGTGCTCCGAGGCTGTCCCATACGGATGGCACATTGATGATTTTAAAGCCAGTTTGTTAACTGGATTTTTCTAATGAGGTAACCAAAATAAAGTGTATTTATGCGTCTTTCATGAAGTCATTCCTTTTTGACGTGCCAATGGAGTGAAATCCTTTGTTTCAAAGACAGACTACATCCTCCTTTGAAGTGAATTGGCTGTTCCTGGCATGATATTCAGACCAATCGACCAAACTGCTGTGCATTATTGCTCATAGACCCGCATGCAGCACAAATTACCCTATATAACGCAGGACCTCCACCAACCTTCATCCTCCCCCACCTCCACCTGCATCGCAACGGTGTCCTCCCTCACCTTCTCCTCCCTGCAGTCTCTGTGGTTATCACAGAGAATTTGAAGGATCTACCCTGACATGCGATGTGGCACAAAATTGGATTTCCAGCGTGATTCTCTCCCCGAGCCTCCCGTAGAGTGTAATCCACGCTGGGACTAATTGAGTGGCATGCCAACAGTACGAGTGTGTAAATGGATGGCCGCTCGTGAAATTGGTCTGTGTGACCTGCTTTTTTTTTTTTTTTTTTGTACAATGGCCTGTGAGTTCAGAGAGAGGTAAGCACCCCCCTCCACGCACACGCACACACACACACACACACACACACACACACACACACACTGTCTCGGCTTTGCCAGATTCTCCCTTACCAAAACACATTTTATCTTTAGTCAATGTAAGCTCTTTACGTCGTTTGGATGTGATCCTATATGTGCTGCTATCTGACAACCTGTAAAGTAAATGACTAATGTGAGCAATGGAAAAAATCGTGGCACGTAACATGTCCTACGGACCTGAACTAAACTTGAATGATGGCAACTTGGACTATAACCCTTAACCATGGCTTTGGCCCTTGTAAATAATCAAAGCGGCAATCTTAAGTCGGAAATAAAGGTGTTTGAGGTACAGGATGACTCACCACAGCGGTGTCACTTGCCTGACCACCGCTATCCCAGAAGGCATTGCATTACCCTCGCAAACCCCCTATGCGGACAGAGGAAACAGTGACGCCGCAGACGCAACAAAGCCTTTGTTTTTTTCTCATGTCGATAACTCCGCACGAAGCCCTTTAGTCGAATCTCAAACTTTGGTCATGCCCACTGCCCTCAATATGTGTCAAAATCGTATCTGCAGAAAACCCATGTTGATCGATTTGATCTGCTAATGCTAGCATGCTACCTCGGAGCCCACCGATGTCTTCTATTAAATCAACACTCACGTCCCTTAGCCAGCCTTCTTTTGCACACGGCTCTGTTGTCTGTTCTGCATGTTAGATGTAGCCACGCCCCCTGATTTGCATATAAGAACGTGAAATGAAAAACGGCATTATGAAATAAGTTTCTGGAAATGAAAAACGGCATTATGAAATAAAAGACTCTGGAAATGAAAAGTGGCATTATTAAAAATAAAAGACTCTGGAAATGAAAAGTGGCATTATGAAATAAAAGACTCTGGAAATGAAAAGTGGCATTATGAAATAAAAGTCTCTGGAAATGAAAAGTGGCATTATGAAATAAAAGACTCTGGAAATGAAAAGTGGCATTATGTAATAAAAGTACCATGAAATAATTAAATGTATTTAATATTTATGTATTTATTGCCTCATTTATTTATTTCATGATGTATTTCAAATGCATATTTCATGTATTTAGGTATTTATTCATTTATTTCATTTTGACTAAAACGGCATTCTATATCGATGCAGCGGTAATAAACTTTCGACTAACGTGTGCTTGTGCCACCTCATTTGTAGTGAGCACTCTTCCTACACTAAATATACACACCCACATAAATGCACATAGACCGGGTGGGATGTGGAGCTGTAGACTCAACACACACCTACACGCACACACACACCAGGTACACTGTGACACCATACAACAACAACAAAAAA